AATTGTCTTAAATTTTTTTATTATATAACATACATATCTGTTTATTTATTTTTACCAAATATATAATAGATTTTTTGTTATAAAATCTTAATTGTTATACTTGTCTTCTTTAGTATTGATAACTCTTTTTTCATCCTATGTGCTCCTATATAATTTGTTATCCCCACTTTACACTCCATTTTTATTATATATTCCTAGGACAGAGAAAATCTTATTGTCACCGGATAATTTTGGCCAAGTTCGGTAATGCCGGCCAAAATATCACGTGGGATTAAAAAGTGTTGGTGTAGTTCGTCACACCTGCATTTGTCACCTGATGATCACATAAAAATTCAGATTTGTTTTCAAATTCATTTTAAAACGAAAAAATGACTTCTGGTAATTGGTATCATGAATTTCAACCAAAAGGTGTCGAACAACTAGCAGTCCATCCTAATAAGTTCGACGAAGTCAGAGACGTCATAAAGAATGTTTTTCGAAAAGTTAACCGAAATAAATATTTACAAGAGAAAAAATTGGTCATTCTTTATGGTCCAACCGGAAGTGGAAAGTCGGCCACTCTTAAACTCGCTATTGATTTTATCAATCAAGAGTCTGAACTCTGTGAACAACGTAAATTACCCACTTTGCCTCGAATATATATTAATAAATTCGATCCGTATCCTATCGGATATTCTCAACAAAGTGATTATGAACCGGCCATAACGAGATTTAAAGATTGGATTAACGATAATATTTGGTTTGCGACACCAGAAGCCTTAAAAAGGGGGTATAAAGCACAAGTCCTTTTATTGGAGGAATTGCCATTTGCGCCCAATAGTAAGGAACAAAAAGTTAAATTTCATCGAGAAATATCAAATTATCTGGGAAAGGAAGATATAAGAATGCCAATAATTTGGATAGTTACAGAAACAAGCATGAATATCGAAGATTGGGATCACAAAGAATCTAAATCAGTTGACACATTATACAATACTGTGCCGAAAAATATCCTCAAGGATCAAAAAGTAACACTTGTAAAGTTCAACCCAGTTGCAAAAACCCATTTAAAAAGGGGACTCAAAGCATTCTTGGAGGAAAAGTTTCCAAAAGAAGAAGCTATCAAAAGAGAATGTGTAATGAAAATAACGGACAAAGTTGCAGAAAGTGGTGTAAAAGATATTCGTCAAGCACTGAATTATATACAAAGTGCCTATACGATTATGGAAACAACGGAAAAGATACCTTCATTTATGATAACTCCTTCACCTCACAGATATAACAGGGCTGGAAGATTACTAAATGCTCCTCGCAAACCTTATATTAGAACTCAAAAGAAACAGCTTCCTAACGAAACGATATCTGAAATAAATTCCATAATAACTGAGAATGTAAAGTTTGAGAAAAGTGTGGATCAATTTGAATGTCTTAACCTTATATTTGGAATAGATAAGTCTAAAGTAAATGACGCAAATTCAAAGCCGAGAAAGATAATTGGCGGCATGCTTATCGATTATGAGAAATTTGGTGAACTTGCCTTTTCAAATTATCTAAATCACTTTTCAAGTAATATTGAACTCGCAAGTGCATCCGAAGCATTCAGCAATTATGATATATTTCATGCTAACAACTACAATAATAAAAGGAATTCTAGTTTGATTTTGATGAATGGGTTAACAGATTCTCGAACGCAATGTCCGCCAAAAACAGGGTATGTCATTCATAAAGGCAATGCTTTCTTCGATTTTAATCAAAGAATGCGCAAAAATAAAGACTGTCTTTGGTCAATAAAACGTGGTAAACAGCGGCTTTTCGAAGAAGATACGGTTGGCACACAAAATGAGAATTTTATTATGACAAATCATAGCAAAGAAGATCTTGCGATGTTCGTTTTACCATATTTGAGACAAATGAGCAAACTTGACACTTCGAATGTTTTAAAAATATCCAGGAGTGGAAAAGCATGTTTGAATGAATTTGGTAAATTCCAATATAATAATAATGACAGGATTTTTAATTGAAAAAAAATTATAATATATACATATGAAAAATTGGAATAAATATTTCATCAAAAATGAGCATCAATTCTAAATCTCATAATTAATTCTAAGTAATAATTTTTTTTTTTTTTATTGACATTTTGAAGATTTTTAATTGAATAACCAAAGCTATTAACAAAGCTATTAAAAAAAAAAAAAAAAACCAAACTAAATAATATCATGTATGGGACGGAGAAGTAAGTCTATAGGTAGGGGAAGAGACAATGTGTTTAGAATTGATCATATCCAAATTTGAATTATTCGATGATTGACTATTGGAATTATTATTATTATTATTTTTATCATCAACAACTAATGATGCATGAGGTTCGTTGATCCTAGAACCTTTTCTAAATTCATTAGATGTTTCCAAATTATGATACGATTTTTCACGCTTGGGATCGTTCCCACTTTCATCCCCATCTCTCGTAAAATTGCGTTTATCGCCACCAAATCTCTTTTTCATAAATTCATTATCAGCTTCGTAATCGCTGGGCTTTTTATCCCAACAATCATAATGGCGATTCCGGTGTGAAAGCGATTCATTTAAATCGCGATCATTCTTTTTATGATGTCGACTTCGACGTTGATGATGATGCTCATCACGTCGATGATGACAACTATGGTGGTCGTCACGTTTGTGATGCCGACGATGTCGTTTGTCATTTGATCGTCGAGGGGAATGAGATCGTGATTTTGATCTACTTTTATGATTGCGCTCCAGTGAAAGGTGACGCGGATGGCTCTTATTTGGACTTGATGATCGAGATCGTTTTGGAGATTTTGTAAAACTAACGGATATCGATTCTGAAGGCAGTTTTTTTACTGATTTGGAAACAGAAGAATTATCAATCGCCTTAATCGAATCTGTTAAATTAACAAAGAACACATCAACATTCCAAAAGTTTTTACATAGAATAAAACGAGAAATAACGCGTCTTGTTATTCAAGGCTTTGAAAAAAAAAAATTAAATACTTGATTGTTTCCAAGGTAGATCTTCAAAGTCTCTATCAGCATCTGAATATAAACCTCCAGGATTTTTATATGCGTGCAAAAAATTACACTGAATTCCTTTCGGACATTGTTTTCTTTGATAATATCCTAATACGAGATTATTGTAAGTAAATGAACGTAACAACATTAATCCGATATCATATAATAAATATATTTCAATTACCACATATCGCGGGTTTCCATTTGGTTACTGGACAGTAATCGCATATCAACTGTTTGCCAGCGTACCATCTTCCCCTGATATTTTCGATCGCTAGTTCTGCCTCGACCTCACTTGAATATTGTACATACACGTTTCCACGTAGATGTTGTTGAAAATTATTACATACCTGAAATATTATACAATTAAGTTAAAAAATTTTAATTCTGCAATCATTTCTCCATCAATAAAAGATATTACCTTGAATTGCACGATATTTCCATATTGCTGAAATTCAGTATGTACGTCTTCGAAAAAGTCAAAATAATGTTTTTCGGCTTCAACTTCGTCAAACTATAAAAAAAAAAAAGAGAGAGATAATCCGAAATGTAGATTCAAATATAATAATAATTTAAAAATAAATCTGTCAAGGATTTCTTTTTCTAATTTGTAAATTTATAAAAGAAAAGATACAGCGAAGGACGATCTTAAAGTCTTCAATTAAATGGAACCAATCATCTTCCTTGTATTAATAGAAAAAAATCACCGCTAGGTTTAATTCCAAAGCCATCCTTCGCAATACTTTAGATATATTTGGGGGGTGAAACATACCTCCAAATCATCATCATCATTCTCATCTGCCAATTGCACGGGCATACCCTCATACATATTTTTGATTAAAATAGTACAACATTTTTCAGGATAAGGATGATATCGACCACATGAATCACCGTATCGGCAAGCGCCGGTTTTAAGATAAAATGGACAATTGACTTGATCCTAATGTTATTGATAATAAACATTTTTTTCAAAATTAAGAATAATGTAATATACGAAACTGTATTATAAACTAACCCATATATATTTTTTTTAAATCATTGGTTTGAAAATGTATATATAATTTTTTATATTAAATTTAGGATACGATACTTTCTCAGTTCCATAATCGGTTTTTTCGCTCGAGTCTTCTTGAACTGATGTTGCTGATGGAGATGTAAACTTCAAGAATATATCTTGTTAAGAGACGTTATTATTTCTCATTTATAAACAAAATTCTAAGTTGAATTATTCAAAATACCAATTCATTTGAATCTTTATTGTTAATTTCTTCTTCGGTAATAGGTTTGGGTATTTTTATACTTTTAACTGTTTTCTCCCAATTTTCCTACAATAAATAATAAACATGATGAATTCGCATTAAAAAGATTTATACATTTGATTTATTTACCTGTATTATTTTTTTATTTCTTTCATTTTCCTCTTGCCTTTTCTTTTTTTCAGCATTAGCCTGATCGATTTGCCGTTCTCGGACTTCCCATAATATTCTTTCTGCATTTCTTTATTTTTTTTTTTTTTTTTGATATATTAAAATATAATTCTTCAAGAATTGTACGATAAAATAATTTAAAAAATCTTTAAAGGTATTTTATACCTTTTTCTTTCTTCAATTTTAATTGCTTCAGTAACTTCTTCAGAGATTTCTTCTTCCACTTGTAGTTGCCTAGCTTTAGCGGCTTCTATCCGAGCATTTTTTTTTCGCTGCTTTCTCATAAGTTTTCTAAACTCTCTACGCGGCAAATGGTTCATTTTGCTCGTATATTTCGTTTCCTTTCTGATAGCTTTAATACCAAGTAGAATCAGCAGAAACAATATTTGAACTTTTTTCTTTCGAGTAAGTTCAAATCCAACTCAAAAAAAAAAGCGATGAGGAATTACGTCAACCAATCACGGATGTTTGATAATTTTCGCAAACTTGTTACACGACACACACATTTCATAAATAGTCACCAAATTCATTTATTTCCAAAATTTAATAAAAATTTTTTTTTTTAAAAAAACATGAATTCAAAATCTTTAATTAATCCCAATTACGATTTAAATCCATACAAAAAAATTGGTGAAAAATATGAGAATGATTCTTTAACATATTTGGAACAATATTACACCAAATATTTCCTTATTGATTCAAGTAAGTCAAAATGATTTCAATTCAAAGATAATACTATTTGTTTAAATCAAAACATTTTATTAGATGAAAACACAACTGAAGACTTTTATATTTATCAAGCTCCTAATAAGTTATCATCTTTTTATTTTTTATCGTTTGTTACTTTTTTTTTTATTATATATATGATATATATATATATATATTTTTTTTTTATACAAAGTTTTTTTATTCTTTTTTAAAGATTGTGTGTAATAGGTCTGTCGCCAACGCATCCTTTATTACAATCATCTCAAAAAGTGAAATCAATAAAATTTAATGAAAAAATATCTCAATCGATGAATAAAAAAAAACAAATCCCTCTTGAAATAAAACGTGAAATTTGCGTTATTACGACAGAAAGTGGCAAAAAGTATAGTATTAAAGCAGGTGTTGTTGGCTGGGTAATTGATTTTAATATGAGACTTGACAGAGAATATGATTTGTTACAGGAAAAGGTACTATTTTCCTTTTTTTTTTTTTTTTTTCTTTCATCAAAGCAATTCTTAACCTTTGATATTCTCGTTTGTACAGCCATTTACGGAAGGTTATATTGCAATTATAAAACCTAAGCAGGATGACCCCAAAAAAGCATTAAATCATTGTATAGATGAAAAGGAGTACAAAGATGTTAGAACATTAGATTAATTAATCTTACTTATTTATTATTACCTGAAAAAAAAAAAATAAAAAAAAAATTTTTTGAAATCGTGAAAAGATTGATTATGTTTTTTTATTTATAAGATAAAATTTTTTAATAACGTCACGTCTAATATGTACAAGTTGTAAAAGAAAACTAACAAGAGTACAAAGCACTAAAAATATACAAGTTTTTGGTAAAAAACCAAAAAAGTGCGAACCTAGCTAATATAGTAGCAAAACGAATCAAGTATCTGTCAACTAAAAAAATTTTTTTTTTGTTCTTATCAAAAGAACTATGAAAGAAGAAAAATGAAAATGTATATGTATAGTGGAATTGAACGCACACTAAAGGTACTTTTAGAAAGGACACATACACGAAGTGGTGAATCCGTGCATAATATTACAAACAAATGAATTCGATCGCATCAATTTTTTTTTTATAGGAGCCACAGCATTTAAGAGAACAAACATAATTAAGAACTAGGAAAAATACTTCAAAGACGGACTTTTTTTTTGAATAAAGGTAAAAAAAGCAAAAGAAAAAGGGGGATAAGACATACTGACAAAATAAGGAAAAGGAAAAAAGAATTTTTTTTTTTTTGAATCACATGAAATCAAATTGCTGTGAATTTCGGTGATTAGTAACGGTTGTAGCCGCCGCCGCCGCCGTAACCACCACCACCACGACCACCACGACCACGACCACCACCACCACCACCGTAACCACCACGACCTCCTCCGTAACCACCACCGCCGCCGCCACCACCGAAGCCACCTGAACGTGGAGCGGGTGAAGAGCGTTCTGAAGCACGGTCGACTATTTTAGAGGAAAAAAAATCAACATAAAAGCGGATTGATTAATAATCTATTTTTTTTTTAAAAAAAAAAAGGTCAACAAAAAAGAATTATATTCACCCTTGATAGTACGGCCATCGAATTCTTGATCATTTAAGTTTTGAATGGCAGTTTCAGCATCTTCATTACTACACGGAATACACGGATACAATTGTTATTGACGTTCGTTGAATTTCAACGATCAATTATCACGTGATAAGGAAAAAACTTACTTTGCGAAGGTAACGAATCCGAAACCACGACTGCGACCTTTTATAATTACGAGAAACCAGAGAGATAACCAGAACAAAAACGAACATAATTATAGATAGCAGGGTGGATAAAAGGGTTTTGAAACACAATATATATTGATTATTTTGCACACACGAACAACACACAAAAAAAAACAAAAAAGTATCATCCTGTTTGTGAGACAACACAGGCGAGGGAAAAGGGAAAATGAAGACAACAAAAAGGTTAGCATCCTTAAATTCGCTATTGAGATTAACCCAGACAAAACAAAAAAAATGTTTTGAAAAGTCTCGCGAAATTGACAAGGTGCTCAACTAAACTCTTGTTCGCTTAAAGAAAAAAAAAAGAAAAAAAAAAAAAAAAAAATCTCATCTTACCAGTATCACGATCACGGATAACAACAGCGTCTTCGACGGTGCCATATTCTTCAAATCTTTGCCTTAGAGAACGGTCATCAGTACCCCAAGACAAACCACCGACAAAAAGCTTGACGGACATTATTAAAAATTAAAAAAAAAAGAACTATGTGGTGGTGTAATGGAGCAACGAAAGAAACGAACAAGGAACTAAAAGTATTAATTTTTTTTTTTTTTTGGGTTATTTGAGAGGGTTAAAGACGAACGAAACCGAACAAAAAGGCTTAATATACCTGAAAAAAATTTAATGAAAACAGGGATGGACCCTCTTTGCAATGGCTTAGCCTTCTTTTTTTCCAAATTAATAATGTTGCATAATTTTAAACAAGCTTTTGTCAATCTTATATAGGATAGTTTCTATTATATTCAAAATTACCCCCAACAATTGGAGGAATTGTGACAAATGAAATTACGTGATCCAGATTGTGAGACATAATATTATGTTGAACTATGCATAAACAAATGTCTAATTTACAGGACTCAGCCGAAAATGAGAATTTGTGCCTTTTTTTTTTTTTTGTATGTATTACAGACAATTGATTTCTCAAAAAAAAAAAAAAAAAAAAAAAAAAAAAAGATACAATATGGGAAAATGGCTTTGTGTCACTTAATTAGTTCGAATAGTTAACTCGCTCGAGTTACGCCCTGATTTGTAAAAATTTTGATAAGAAGAATTCAATTGACAATTCTACAATTTTACAATTGTTTGCTGAACTCTAAATAGGTTGGACAAACACCTGAAAAGAATGCACCCATGAGACTTTGTGGGAATTTTTTAATGATTTATTTTTTTTATAAAAAGCCTGTATATGCGTCAAATAATGATTGGTTGAACTAATCAACACGCCTGATTGGTTGATAAAAACCAGATTGCTTTATTCTACATTGTTAGGTATTCCATGATAATCGTTACTATTCACATGTTCGATTACAAAACTTTGTGGTTGAAGCACAAGTTCATCCCTGTAATCATAATGTTTGTCCAATGATTCTGAGTCAGCTAATATAGCCGGTGGTAGATCATCATCCTTGATTGAAATTCTTGGTGAATGAACAAGAATTTGATGATGGGTAAAGTAGACACTAAAATCAACGAAACATCTAAACAATAAATTAAAAACATTTTAATCCCGAGTACCTACGGTATGGAACGTATGAATTCTACTATTAATTGTCCGGTTGTCAACCCAGTTACCACCACGATAAATATTTGTGAATTCATCGACATTATTAATAACATGTAAAAAAATCTCAAGGTGGTCAACACCGCATAACCGAGAGTCCGTGTTGCAACCACTTTAATCCTTTCTTGATTTTTATCATATTGCGAATTCTCATAATAATAGGTCAAAAGTCTTTCACACCAACATAATGAAGTCACAAATAAAGTTGCCAAGACAAAGGTATGAATAGAAGTAACTTGGAATCCTGAAAAATATATGTTATGTATGACTATACACATTACTAGTTCATTTGGTATCTCAAAATAATTTAATGATGAGATACCCTTACCACCCGTGAAATAAAGCATGTTATGATCGGAACTTTTGGAATCCGTCATTTTTCATAAAGTGAAAAACGCGAAGGAATCATGTATAAACGGAGGATTTCCGCGAATTCATTTTTTTTTATTTCGTTCATAGAAACTAAGGGCTTTTTATTACAAAAATTTTGTCTGTTCCCTGATTTGAGGCTTATATCAAAGATAAACCTGTTACAATGTCCTCATACTATTTCATAGTAAATTACATGAGTTCGTTTTTTTTTTTTTTTTTTTTTTTGATATTAATGACTGAATAAAAATGGTTTATGTGAAACGTGCTGTTTCGTTCCTCATGAAAATATTTTGTCACGTGACATAAATTAAAATTAAATGATGTGTTAACTATGGTTAAAGATTTTAAAGTTTGAGATTAATAAATTATTTTTCCGGCCATCCTTTTTCGCTATTTTCTCCTTCTTCAAGCGTATCTTGTTGACTGACAACCCTTAATACAGATTTTTTACTGGATTCTTGCATTTCTCCAGCGATTATCAATTCATCCAAAACAAAATATGCCTTTTAAAATTTACAAACATAAATTTTGATTAAGATTTAATATTAATAAAGTTACTAAAATTATGGAATTATTATATCATTATTCTTAAACCTATCCTACCTTTTGAAAATTAAAAATCAAATCTAATTCACATACCTAATGTAAAAAACGTTCATTAAGATTTGAAACATAAATTAAGGAAAGATTAAGCAAAGTATGATTCAATTCGAAATTATACATTTCCAAAATACCGATCTAGAATTTCAACATAACGATGAATAATCTCAAGTGTTATGAGCTCATTATCAGTGGCAGAAATGCCCGTGACGAAAAATAAACTTGCATATCTAAAAAAAAAAAAAAAAAAGTAAGAATTTTTTTTTTAATATTTAACTCCTCTACTGAAAAAATTAATAAAATTGTTACTTGAAATTTTACCTTCGATACACGACTTTTTCATCTACAAACAGAATTCACGTCATTCATTAATCCCGATTCAATTAAATAGAAAGTTTGATAACTAATTTGATTCAATTTAATATACCATTAATAAAATTACGTATAACTAACCCTTATATTCTAAAAAGTTACACATCTTGGTACGTCTGGAAAGTACCATTTGTGTAACTTCTTTAATGATTTTTTGTTTTTCTTTTGATGAAAGAGTGTTAAACCACTTTGCAAGACGTACTTTTCCTTGACGGCTTACTAATAACACGTATTTAATCTATTAGTAAAAAAAGGGTGGAAAATTCAATGATTTTGTAAATTATGCTAAAAAAAAATAATCAACTTATGACTTACTCCCATCTTAAAGGTAATATTATTTTTTTGAGTAAATCTACGGAAAGGAGTGAATGCGTTGCAAGAGAAAGTCGAATCTAAAAAAATGTCAAATATTTGTGGGTTACACAATCAAGTGTCACGTTCTCCAATAAAGTAAGTTTATTGAAAAATGCCTCAAAATAGTTGAAATGATTTCGCAGTTTTTCATTCTATCTCCTCAACGAGGTGATGTACTTATACTTCGCGACTGTGAGTTCTTTTTTTGTTATTTTCTTTTTTTTTTAAAAAAATGTTCATAATTCCCATGCGTCCCTCACTTTGTTATTTAAAAAGTTCGACACGATACTCCACAAGATACGCCTGGCCTTCTTCTCGATAGACTAAAAACTTGGCAAAAAGACCATGGAACCGAACAAGATCCGCCTCCAATATTTAATGTGGACGGTTTTCATTTCCTTTTTAAAAATATACAAGGACTTTACTTTGTTTGTACTACAAAGTTCAACGTTTCTCCTTTTATGATCTATGAATTACTTGGACGCGTTGCGATTTTGATAAAGGATTTTTGTGGAATTTTAAGCGAAGAATGCTTACGATTAAATTCTAGTTTAGTTTATGAATTGCTTGATGAGATCATTGTAACCTTTTGACCTTTATCGAAATGGTAATTTTTTTTAAAAATATCTTCATCTTACAAAAGTTTTATTTTATCAGGATTATGGATATGTTCAGACAACCTCAACAGATCGATTAAAATCTTATGTATATGAAGATCCAATTCAGGTCAAACGTGAAAACATATTCATGAATTCCCTAGCAAAGGTTAATAAATATATGACGTTGATACATGTACATATTTAATTTAATGATTGTAAAATTTTAATCTTGATCTCTATATTTCAGTTAAAAGCACCAGGGACAAGTTTGGGATCTTCAAGCAATCGACCAATTACGCATATGCGTGATGAAAAAAGTGTTAAACAAAATGATGTTTTTATTGATGTTATAGAACGACTTGTCGCTTCCTTTGCTTCCAATGTAAATTGTTCTCTCATTGCCCATGTATCATTTGTGCATCACGCTAAATAATTGAATCATATAATAGGGGATGACAGTACGAGCAGAAATCGATGGTTCAATACAGGTTAAGAGTTATTTGCAAGGAAACCCCGAAATTCGACTGGGACTAAACTCCAATATTATACTCGAAAGAAATAAAGATATGTCAAGAAGTAGGAAAGAAAATTTGTTCGAGTTAATGCTTGAATTATTGTAATATTAATAATAACCTTGCTTATTGAAAGTATAGGTGATAGGTATGGGATTGTGTTCGAAGATTATAAGTTCCATGATTCGGTGGATCCTACAGGTAAATTTTGTTGATATCAATTAGCAAATTCTATCTTTCTATTTGATCTAAATTAAAGTTGCAACGATTTTAATATCAAGATTTTGAAGAACATAAACGAATGATTATTTTTCCACCGGAAGGAGAGATTACGATTATGAAGTAATGTCTCTGTAATTTTTTTTTTTTACTACTATCTCTTTAAACATTTGTTGTCATCATTATCATATTAGTTATCGAATATCCGGAGAAGTTAGTTTACCATTTCGAGTATTCCCAACTGTTATGCGTGTTCCAGGGTATCCAAATAGGATGGATGTCACCATTAGAATTCGAACCGATATCCCTGAAAATCGGTTCGCAAATAAATGTACACTAACTGTACCTTTGCCGCATGTATCACAAAGGTATTTCAAAGGGTTATTTGTGAACTTTCTTTATAAACAAAAAAATTTATGACTCGTTTTTTATTAGTATCTATAACGAAAACATGGACGGATCGAATGATCAATCAGTCCAATATGATAATCGAATCAAAAATGTCATATGGACGATTAATAATCTACAGGGTGGCACAGAACAGTCAATAAAAATCAAGGTACATTGATATTCTTTTTAATTTTACAAATAACTGTGATAATTTTTAAGTATTTACTATATTTTAGATTACGGGATCCGCTTCGTTTTCAACAGTTGCAGAATTGGAAGTAGGTCCTATCAGGCAAGTTATCATAACCTTAATTTCCTTCAAGATAAAATTATGATTAATTAAACCTTCTATTTGATTTTATGTCTAGTCTTGAATTTGATATTCCTAATTTCACCTGTTCTAATATTCAAATTCGGAGATTAAAAGTTTACGAAAAGTATAAGTCAATACTTCCCCAGCGTTGGGTCAGATACTTTACC